GGACTCGTCTGAGCAGTCATAGAGTCGTATAAACACAGAAACATACTCTTCAGCCCAACTCGTCCATGACAACCAGGTTTCCTAAACTGAACTAGTTCAATTCGTCTATATCCATCTAAAGCTTTCCTCAGTGGTCTACTGAACAGTAATGTTTTAGTTTTGGGAAATCCAAGGGTTAATACTGATAATTTAGGAAATATTCCAGGAGTTTCAGAAGGATGAAACAAATAAAAGGACTTTTGTAACTGGGTTGGTGTTCCCAAATTGGTGGTTGCTGCGGAGTGAAATCAGACTTGTCAAGGTTCCAAAAACGTATTCAATATGAACAAGTTGCTGTGTCTGGACAGTTATGAAGGAAAGAGAAATTACCCCACATTCTACCTGTTTTAACATTGTTCAGCTGCCAAGAAAGAAGTGAGTCATCAAAATAACATTGGCTTTCAAGAAACTAATGACAGCATAACTATGCCCATCCGTCGTATATATCTGTCAAAATCAGATGCAAATTAATTCTAAAGGTGACATGACAAAATAAGTCCATTTGGTTGATGGAAATAAACATTAACTGAAAAATGAACCACTGTGAAATTAATGCTGTTATGATGTTTTTCTGATGACAAAACCACAAATTTCAGAGAAAGCTATAATGACTTAAGAGACTGGTGCCCTTAGCTGATCAACGTTTAAACATGGAGTTTGGAAACTTAGAAACAAAAAAAAAATTTAAGTACAAACACAGCTATGTTCCTGAAAACAGACAAATATCGAGACAGACATATCACAGATGCAAAAATGTCTTTGTACTTAGCGCCTTTCATAACCACAGGACGTGACCCTGGTCCTAAAGTGCTTTACAGTCAAATCAAGTACAGGTTGGGTATCCTTCATTCACATGTTCAAAAACCAAAAAGACCTAAAAACTGAAGGGGTTTTTGAAAGCAGACTTGGACACACACTGTTGTTGGGACTTTTGGGAAAGCAAAACTTCACTCTTAGGTCTGTTAAGACCAGGTAAAGTTTTCTTTCCCCAAAGGACCCATCCAAAAAAACAAAAAAAGGTGGTCCTGAGGTTTTCAGGAAAAAAAAAAGATTCCCAACCTGTAGGGTCATACAGCACAGAAACATCTTTGGTCCAACTTGCCCATGGCGACCAGATCTCCCAAACTAAACCAGTCCCTCTTGCCTGCCTTTGGCCCATATCTTCTAAACCTTTCTTGTTCTCGTACCCGTCCAAATGTCTCTCAATGTTGTAACTGTACCTGCATTTACTATTTCCTCTGGCTGTTCATTCCAGACACGCAACATCCTCTGAAAAATTTGTCCCTCAGGACCCTTTTAAATCCTTCACCTCACCTTAAACCTATGCCATCTGGTTTTCAAGTCTGCTACCTTAAAGAAAAGGCCTTGGCTATTCAAATCTAATCAATACCCGTTATGATTTTATAAACCTCTAATGTCATCCATCAGCCTCTGACACTCCAGTGAAAACAGCCCCAGCCTATCCAGTACAAAAACAAAAGTTGCTGGCAGCATCTGTGAAGGAGAAAACAGAGTTAATGTTTCGGGTCTGGTGGCCCTTCCTCAGAAGTGGCCTATCCAGTGTCTCCTTATAACTCAAACCCTCCATTCCCAGATACATCCTTGTAAATCTTTTCTGAAACCTCTCCAATTTAATAATATCCTTCCATTGGCAGGGAGACCAGAACTGCACAGTACTCCAAAAGTGGCCTCACTGATGTCCTGTACAACCTCAACATGATGTCCCAACTCCTATAGTCAATTGAAGTATAGTCAGTCACTCTTGTAATGCAGAAATGCAGCAGCTAACTTGTACACAGCCAATCCACACAGACAACTGAACTAAACGTAAACTGTGAACAAAGTTATGGTAACCTCAGTAATATCTTATGAACAAAGCTCTCAGAACACTCCGTACAAAACAGACAAGTCGACGTACAGCGATAAAGTCTATAATGTTACTCAACTCAGAACGGATTTGCACACACACACACACAAAATTGATAACAGTTTCTAATGGGAACTGCAATTTCTTAGTCATAGAATCCCTACTGTCTGGAAACAGGCCATTCGGCCCATTGAGTCCACACCAACCCTCCAAACAGTATCCCACCCAGAACCACCCTCCTGCCCTATCACCATAACCCTGCATGTCTCATGGCTAATCCACCTAGTCTACGCATCCCTGGATTTTATGGTCAATTTAGCATGGCCAGTCCACCTAACCTGCACACCTTTGGACCACGGGAGGAAACCGGAGCACCCAGAGAATGTGCAAACTCCACAGTCACCCGAGTGTGGAATCGAACCTGGGTCCCTGGCACTGAGAGGTAGCAATTCTAACCACTGAGCCACCAGGCCGCCCAAGTGTTATAGTAGTTCACGACTGCCAAAACCAGTATTATTTATTGATATGGGTAGATTGTCTGTTAATAATCCAGAGTTATTCTTCAGTTAAATTGCTTCCTCAACACCTCTATGGCCAAGTTTCAATCCAAACCAAGTTTCAATTTCAAGTTAACAAGGCAAAAAGTACCATGATCAAAGTTAGAAAGCTCCCATATGATTATTTCATTCCTAACTGATCAATTCACTGCAATAAAAAATCTCTATAACCTGATATTAAATTTATCAACCAGATAATGAAGTGGATGAATACACAGCCACTCATGTGGCTAATGGAAATAACACAGTTGAGGAGCAAGGGGGGTTCTGCTACCACTTGTATTCAAGTATAGCATTCAGTAAGAAAATAGCTGGGTTTTTACTGCAAGTAACAGAGCAGACTCTGGAGAAGAGTTCTAAAACGTGAGTTGACCAACTCACTGAAAGAGCCTAAATCAGGGGCTCTAAGTACTGGTTTATGGATTTTGTGTGCGGTTCCTAAGCAGATTACTGCTGCTCTGGGAGCACATTCAAAAAACATTTCACAGTCACTGAGCAAATTTACTTTATACTTTATTCTAAATGTCATTCTGGGTCTTCCCACCAGCAACACTCCCCTGATGCCTTATTTAAATTGGCAGACTGATGCAGGCACCATCCAAATTTTGTTCAACTCCAGATTTACTCTTCAGTCGTTTAATCACATGCCAAAATCGTTGACGTTGCAACTCGGGCCCGGCACACCTGCCATTCTGACTATAACAAGTAATTAGCTGCCTAACTGCCTTCAACCCACCGTCATCATCTAACCGTGTTCTGTGCAAGACCCTGATAAAATATTGGGTAATTAAAGAACACTGTTCTTGGACCATTATTGAACTGGTCACTACCCACTGGGATTCAACTAACCCAAAGCAGATCTTCTGAACAGCACAATGAAAATTGCACATTCTGTTAGTTGTAAGGAGTCACAAACGTACTAAGAAACTGCCTGAGAGCAGATAAATAGAATAGGGATGCCTTAAGCCTAAGTAACTGCTCCAAATCCCATCGCACAAAATAAAGACTGAAATAGAACAGTCTGAATCTTGCTTTAAGTGTGGTGTCAGGCCTCCACCAATGCCAACCCAGCCAATTACCATCCCCTCTCACCACTGTCCTGGACAGGGAGAGTCTACTCCATGTTGTTTCCCTTCCTTCCCCCTCCCCCACCACCCACACTCGAAAACAACAAAATTCCATCTAGTCACTGCTGATCCATCAGCCCCGATGGCCTGACCCACTTCACAAAATAGGCCATCAACACCACCCAAGATTTGTTAGTATTAACTTAAACTGGCATACTAATTATATGGGGACAACACTGTACAAATGGCAGAATTTACTACACCACCTCAGAATACTGGTGATTTTATTGTGGAGTCCATGTGCCAACCATCCAATTAGCACCTTCTTCTCATGCAGTATAAATTGCTGTTTCCTTAAGGATCAGGTATTCTTGCAATTCTGTCCTGATGAGCGCAAGATATAAAGCTCCACAGCATGTCTCTTTCTTTAAAAGTATGGAAACTCTGTACTGCCAAGCAACCATTTAGACGCTCATCTACAGAAATTACAACATAGGATCAGCAAGAAGTGCCACCTTATGAGAAGCTACACTTTATCAACTGACAAACACACTTTTCAGGAATATTCAAAACTAAGCACAGGCACACCAACACCCTTTGCCCTGGATTCTGTGAAGATCGCATTTCAAGTCAACATCAGTCCAGACAAACTTAGACTAAGGCAACAGACTGAACCCTAACAAAGTGCTGGCATGCACCTGAAAGTTAAATGGCTCATAATTCCACACCACAATATAATTTAAGTTCTGCTGTGAAAAGCATGTCATTAATACTACCACATTTTCTGAGATGCTACTCCTCATGATCAAAAGGAGATTTACCAAGCTTGTTTCTTTCCCTGCAAATATTCATGCATATTTCAACACACGCTCAGTGACTTAAAACAGAAGTCTGTTTGCAATGATTTTGTGAGCAGCCTTCCAAAGCTGTCACTTTATGCATACTTCTATTCTCTAATAACCTGACAGCAAGTTTGAAACCTTTGACTTCAGACTTGGTTACCTGCCACATTTTTCAACTTTATGAAGATCGTTCGTATTGTCAAATGGTGGACAGCTATTTGAAGCACAAAGTGACATTTTATAATGAATATTTTGTTTGAAAATATCATGTAGCAAAGGAATCACATCAAAATCTTTGAAGAGTTTCCAAAACTTCAGAATTGTCAGGGGAAAATTGACGACTTGAAATACGATCCACAATATACAACTGAAAAAGAAGAGTAGCAGCTTGAAGAAAGAATGATCTGTGGAAGAGTACAACAATAAATTTCAAATGGCATATTTTGGCAACCACTTAACTTTTCCTTATACATATTCAATCGGGTACAGTGTCACCTAGCAACCCTATAGAGCTATGCAAATAGCTGAAAGAATTTACACACGGTGGGTCACAAATGTTCTGCCAGTTTGCAGGCTGTGAAACTGTCCTTGGAGTTTGCTGAGATTACCCAATCACTGTAAGACTTACTTCACTTTCTGGATCCAAATGCAGTAGTCTGTGATATAGAGGTCATTCAAGAGGTATGCAGGGTCACTCTCTCTGCAGATCTTATGGATGTCCAGAAGGGACTTGAGAACAGCAGACTTACCTAGTTTAAAGAGAAGATAAATAGTTAAGTAAATCTTAAATAAACAAAGTTATTTTCACCAAGGTATTAAAATAGTTCAAGATGCTAGCTATATAGAACTAATCACATGCAGCATCAAACGATATCATAAAAGCAAAAAAAAAGGCATTTTTCATAACCAAATCCTACAATCTGTAAAGAAAAAACAGCTTCAAATGCTATAATAGGGATTATTGCACTTAAAAGACAACTATATATAAGCTAATTAAAAACTGTGATGTAATGATTTGTGTAATGACAGAACCAGTTTACTGCAGCCTCTGTTTGTCGCTTTGTTGACAACTCCGGTTATTTAATCATGCATTTCTAAAATACTGTAGAATTATTCAGAAGCTATCAGGCACTTGCCTCATGCTAATTTCTAAATGGCTCCAGTTGCTATAATGTTGTGTATAGTCACAAGCAGATTAACATCTCATGGTAGTGACTATTAATAATTATATTTTTAAGCATGTCCAAAGGAAATTTTTTTGATAATCTAAGATGTTTTTCATGGCGTTGCTTACTCCCAAATTTTACTTGATTAGATCAAGAACAGAACTGCTGTGGTACTTTTTCCAGGTTAATCATTCTGCAGTTCCAGTTCACCATCTCCGATTATACAACATGCGTTTTCTGCAAACAGCTGTTGTGTATAACTGATGTGCAATCAACACAGGGACTCTAGCTTACCACAAATGCAATTATGCCCTCACTTAATTATCTAGAAGTATTTAATACTTGTTTTTAACCAGTGATTCAGCACAGAAGCTTTGTACTATGGCCAATCTGTACTCAACCAGATAGTTCAAGTTATTCAGACAGCTTGAAAGGGCTCTTGTGGTGCAGCGGTGGTATCTCGACCTTTGAGCCAAAACGCCCAGGTTCAAGTCCCACCTATTCCAGAGGTGTGCAATATCTTGGTTGATTAGAAAATAGTTAGAAGGGCACAATACTGTGAACATTAAGCTGAAATGGAAGGCCAATCTCACTGCAGTTCCAACATGTTGCTCAGGAATCTACTGTAACTACGAAGCACAGCTCAAGCTTTGCATTTCTCAACAAGTGTTATAGCCAAGTGAGGAGGAGTGAACCAGCTATCCTCTTTTTCAACTCCCTTGGTCAGTCACAACAAACATTTTTGGTACTTTTTAAATCATGCAGCCATATCATGCTTCAATTAAAACATAGTACTAGTCAAAATTACAAAGTCAATTACAAGGTTTTCTGGAGCAAAAGGAGGGGGAAGTTTATTTAACTCATTAATCCAGGGAAGTACTAAACAAAAAACACAAACACAGTTAAAGTTTTAACAGGGGAGAATGTCCAGTACAACAAGATGAACAATATACATTTTGCAAAGTTATTCGAGCTGCTACAGTTGAAATTGAGACAATGGCTATCAAGTCGATGTCCAAATCCTCAGCAATAGAGAAGTTTGTAGAATGTTCAAGTCCTCCTTAGCGAATGGTTGTTTCTTTAACTTGAGGAGAAATTGGGGAGAAACAAGCTTTTAGATTCTGCTGTTATGAATTCCTTTCCTTTCTCTGCTCTGCCCAATAGCTATTTGCTTGAAATACAATTCACTCACTTATTTCCAAGTGTTAGGACACCAAGACAGACTGCTGAACCAAATCAGCCTTTCTACCTTTGTATTCACAACAAACCTTCAAAAGACTCCCAATAGTTACTCCAATGGTTCCCAACCAGACTTTTGAATAACCCATCCCAGACTTTGTGAATTAATTAATTCCAGGCAAGTTTTGTTTCTTAAAAAAAAAAAAGACTTAATGATTTATTAAATACACAATAGCTTTAGCAGAGAGAAAAAGAAGTTAGCTGATTGATGCCAATGCTTTAAACCCAAGATGTTGGTTTTCAGCTCCCATTCACTGAAAAGACAGGCAGGCAAATAAACACAGTTAAGGGATTAATACAATAACAAAACTGGCCAGAGTACTTCAATGGTTTTCATTTACATTGTTTCACAGGCATAGATGTAGAATCCTTGGTTGCTTTTCTGAAACCGAATCAGGGTCACCTTCTCAGTCCACTCAGGTAAAGTAATACTTCTGACTCCGCTTTCAATTTTCTTGAGTTGGAGCAGCTGGTGACGGAGATAAGGCAGGGAGATTTTTTTTTCTTTATTCATTCACAGGATGAGGACGTCACTGGCTAGGCAGCATTTATTGCCCATCCCTTAACTGCTCAGAGGGCAGTTAAGAGTCAACCACATTGCTGTGGGTCTGGTGTCACACGTAGGCCGGACCAGGTAAGGATGGCAGTTTCCTTCCGTAAAGGACATTAGTGAACCAGATGGGTTTTTCCCCCTGACAATCAGCAATAGATTCATGGTCATCATTAGACTTTGGATTCCAGATTTCAAATCTTCATGCTGTGTCATCAGCTGCCCAAAAACCACAGCTTAAAAGAAAACAACTTCAATTCTGGTCCTGCCCCGAAAGACTGGCCGTTATTTCTCCCGATGCCTCAGTTACTATTCAACATTTGTCATGTGCTTGACTGCATGGTCTCTTCCAGACTTGACAGAACCAACTCCCAGGTACTGACCTCATTAATAGCCAACTTCTGTTACCTGTTTAAACACAATGCACTTCCCAGGATTGCTGTGTCTGTAGGAACCCTTTTAAATCAAACCAAGTCTGCAATTAACTTCCAAGTCTGGTCTCACAAACATACAAAAGCTTGCTTGGTCTATTCTTTTCCTTTTACCACAAACTGTTTCAAAGTCCACAAATCATCCACAGTTCCAAATTAAAATTTATTAAAGAAGAACAAGAAATGAAAATAATGAACAACCAGCATGGGTTCAAACACAAGTCAGGCATCATCATATTTTGAGAGCTGGATAATCTGCAGGCATCTTTCATCCAAACGTGAGAAACTTCCAGAAAAGGTGAAAAGAGAAAAAGAAAGAGACTATTTTTCACATAAAAGAGTTTCAGTACCTTCTGAAGCAATGTTAACTTCAGCTCAGTCTGTCTTTGACTATCTCATACTGGTTTCATGAGACTGGCTCAAGCTGCTCAGGTGACCATTCATGCCACTATAAGCCAGAGAGTTTCCTCCTTTTTATGAAACCATTTTAGTCCATGAAAGATCTCATGCAATGAAGTCAGATGACAGAAGTTGGATAGTAATATTTTACCATTGTCGTGACAAGATTGAAGTTAACACGTTACATCAACAAACTTCAAATAAATGTGAACTACAAACAACTTTCCCTTAATTTGTTTCCTGCTGAATAGACTTCCAGTTCACAGCAGCAATGTCTGTAACTGAAAGTTAATGCTGCACAGCTTAGAGAGAACGCTGACTAGAAGTTGTTTCAGCAGGAAACAACATTAAGTCCTGAGGTTGGTTGGTTCGCTGAGCTGGTTTGTTGTTTTGCAGACGTTTCATTACCATGCTTGGTAACATCCTCAGTGCAGCCTCCGATGAAGCGTCGGTGTGTCTTCACGCCCGGTTTTTAAACTCTGGGGTTCATTGAGATGGATTGCCTCGCTTCCGGTTTTCCTGCGTAGTGGAATGTATATGGGGTCGATTTCAATGGTGTTTATTAATAGCATGCTTCGTGGAGTGCCATGCTTCCAGGAATTCTCATGCTTGTCTCTGCCTAGCCTGTCCCAGGATCTTGGTGTTGTCCCAATCGAAGTCATGGTTCTCCTTGTCCATGTGGATTGAGATGAGTGAGTATTGGATCCAATACACTTCATCGGAGGCTGCACTGAGGATGTTACCAAGCATGGTAACAAAACGTCTGCAAAACAACAAACCAGCTCGGCGAGCCAACCAACCTCAACACCCACAACCCGAGCTACAGATCTACTCCAAAACCTTATAAACATTTAAGTCCACTAAGAAAATACAAGTGAAATGTGAAAGTTCAAACTAAAACCAGACTAATTATCTATTACATAACCAAAGTGTCGTTAAGAAATTATTTAGCAAAGAACCCCAAATATTATGCACATTTCAGATACAGAGACAATTCTAAAATATGCACATTACAAAGCGTGCTTTCAATGTTGCTTGCCTACTGTGAACTGGAACTGAACAGGGAATACCTCCTGGTCAAACCTCAAAGTGAGTCTTTAAATCTTTCAAACTTCAGAGCTCAGTGTCTGAAACACTGAATTCTAAAAGAGACAGTCAATCAGAACTAATTAAATGCTTCTTTCTGCAAAGACCCACCTTCTTTTTTAGGCTATTATCAGCGTAACTCAATCCTATCTTCATCCAAAACCAACGCATGTAATTTCAGGAAAAGGTCACGGTACAAGTCGCAACAAAGCACTGACCCTTATTTGTTTGCCACTCTGTTAGGAAAACTTCCCCATCATTGTCACCAGGATTGAACGCAGAGAGAACATGGACTTGGAAAAATTGTTCAAGGATTTACGTCAAAAGCGCCTCCTACCCAAGAAAGACACTCAACTACCCCATTCTGAAGTACATGTATGGATTGTGTCAGGTAGCCTAATCAATACAAGAGCGCTTAGATAATGTATTTAAGAGTCTCTGGTAGACTGTCACATCTGCAAAGGTCACTTTTCGCACTCTGACTTCATAGTACCACCAGCAAAATGGTTCCGTATCATTCTGTATGAGTTAGCTTCAGGTGGGTGTTTTTGTTTCTGTTAAGGATACTTTCCTCTCAAGTATTGCTGCATTTCATCTTCTTAAGTGCAGAATAAGGGCAAAAAAAAAACATCAGTTTCTAAACATTGAAATTCATTCTGGTCATTTTCCAGCCCTGGCCTTTTGCTGAATCTCTTCATTAGTATTGTTTAACCTCAACTGATAGCAGTCTCTATTTAGCGTCATTAGGCTACTGTTTCAAGTTCCATTCAGACCTGATCACCTAACTTAGTTTGATTCATTAGTGCAGGACAGATGGAGTGTCACTGGTGGATGAAACATTAAAACAGAGAATCCATCTAGTTAGCAGTTCATAAGGA